TGAATGAACCCTACATTAAATATTTATTTGTGAAATAAATTTATAACAAAAATATGAGATATATGTATGTCTCAACAATATGCACATTTTCAAAATTGACCAAAAACATTTCCCTGTGGAAAGCTTTTTTTCACTACGTGATGTTAAGGAGAAGGCTCTGGAGTTATAATTACCATGATTAACCCTGTCTGTACTGTGGCGTTTGTACGCTCGTTCGTCCATTGCTTGCTTGCAATGTTTCTAAAGCTGTGTACACGTGTACAAACGCGCGTAAAAATTAGCAAAACGCGCATAAACATGCAAATAACCGCACGCTGAACACGCAACAGCTGGTCAATCTGTAGTTCGGGAGACATTCTCCCCATTGGCAGGAGGCCAGATTCCTTTTTCCTCCACATACAGTAAGCTTTCAGACTCCCAGATACCCTTTTCTTACATGATGCTGATGGACTACTAAAATAAGTTCTGAAGAGAGTGGTCACCAGAACATGAAATTAAGGTAAGTTTCAGCAAAAAAAACTAAACCTGATGGATGGAGGCTTCCAACTTTCCACACTCTATGCCAATCCAAAGAAAAAAAGGTCTAGCTAGAGTTCCACTTTCTCAGCAATAGAGATGTCCTAAATGTGCTTACCTTCTTAAGGTCAGCAGGTACCATCTTCTCCAACATTTCTAAGGAGAAGCGGTGATGGGCAAATATAGGAAGATACTTCTCTGCAGAAAGGTCTTTCAGAAGGTTCACCAGTTCCTCTTCAAGTCCTTCCTCCTGCAAATCAACCGCAAGGCGCTAAGTTTTCGAGCGTGCTGTAGGAAGATGCAATACGTATGAAAGGACAACCTACCTGGAGCCTGAGGGACAGCGGCTTCTGGTTCAATAACCGCTGATATTGAATCAACCAGTAGTTCTCTTGCTTGGCCTCACTTTTTGCATCCAGCACCAGCTGAGTAAAGGCATAAACAGACTTTACAGCAGGAAGGTCCCATGAAACATTAAAAAGTGCAAGTCTAGCTTTTAAATGTCCACCCGCCCCCTTCCTTCCACCCTCACTAAAAAAAAAAATAAAAAAAAAGTATATACATACCTTTGCTCAGCTGGTCTTCTGGGCAGTCGAATGGCATCATAAGTCCTTCTACTTCAGTGGTAGCAGTGGGTAGCCCTTACTGCTGCACTAAACAGCATGCAAATGGGTTTTCAGTGGCATTTAGTGCCACTGAAAACCACAGTGAAGTGGTACAGTGAACCCTGGCTGCCATTGTTATGCTGCCCCAGAGGGTGAAACCAGGACAGCATGGCCTGAGAGAAAGTGGGTTTCATGACTTGGTCATTTACCCTCGAAGACTGAGGAAATCTAGTGGCGGAAAATAAGTACTGCAGGGAACAGCTCCAGATGGAAGGTGCGCAAAAGTTTTAAATGCTGTTTCTTTTTGAAACATCACCTTTTTACAAATGAATTATGATGTGCTAAAGATTTTTTAAACTTGCACACATTTAAATTTGATTCCGTATTTTTCTAGTGCTTGGGGAGTGCTGCTTCCTCGGGTCCCATAGTAGACGCGAGGTGGCATACGGGCTTAGAGACATATGGTGATGGCACTTCTGATTGACTGTATTTTACAATTCCGTTAAAGTCTCTTGTATGTCCCTATGGAATTCGAATTTCTCTTGCTGGATGGCATCGTTGATTTTGTTCATACCAAACTGTGTATTTGATTACATGTGTTAATAAACAAGGATTTTTTTTTTTTTTTTACATTGATTCCGTAGAAACTTTTCTGAAACACTAAAGGTATATAATGGGGTGTTGTGTAACCTATACAAAAGTATTAGTAAAGTCTTTGGACTTCCTTAAGGTAAAGGCTACCAGTCAAGGCACAGAAATGGATGCTGCCATTATTGATCTTTGAAGGGGCAATTGTCATCATCTTTTTCTTCTTTATCATTACTGCTTATTCAATGACCTGGAAAAAGCATGCATCCAGCAAAGTATTAGGGCACCTTATAGGACATACTGGATACTGGGGTGTGCGTGACGCTATGCCCAGAAAAAGAGGAAGGGGTAAAGAGACGTTCAGCTCAGTACATCTCTTTATGTGAGGCAGTAGCATCAGTATGAACTAAGCCTCAGATCTACAATGGCAGCTTCCACATTACAACCCTAACAGGCTACCTTTATATTCTATTTGAATGTTATATATACTTGCTTTGTGCCCTTTATTAATATTTGATAGATTTCACCACTTTTCCCTTCTGCTTTTATAAATGTTTATTTTCTGTAGGAAGGCTTTATATTTTTTTAAACAAACCACACGCAGGTTTTCCAGCAATCTATGTTCCTCGGTGGTGTGTAAACCATGTGATCACCACACCATCATTACCCGTCTATGCCTCCTCTAGTACATCATGACTTCTTGAACTGTCCCTAGGTCCATCCACGCCGGGTAGTTATAGCAAATGAATTACAGACTCAATGTTTTTCTAAAAGATGTCACATGTGAACAGCCTGCGACACACCATATGATGTAAGATAGGAGAATAAAGTCCTACAGAGAAATGGTTCTGGAAAAAGTAGAATGGGACACTGGAAAATAGGGTGAAAAGAATTGGTTTTCTTCCTACTGGCAATTTATTCTTAATACTGGCAAGAGAAATAATATGAGCTCCATGTAATGCCCCAAAATCGCCTATCTGAGAGGTGAAGTGGATCCAACTCAGCACTGGGATCCCTTTTGTACTCACCAGCACAGCCAATAATTCTTCTTCCCTCTGTTTCTTGTCCTTCAGCAACTGCTGTAGCAGTTCACTCAGGGCTCTCCTCTGCTCCGAGATGATCTCCTGAGTTAATGAGAACATTGTCAGAGGCAACAGTGATGATAGGTGTCCAGGGCGAAGACAATCTAAAGGGATGAACTGGCTTCTTTAGGGGCAGATGGCAAACAGGCCCCTGACACATCAATTACTACACTGATATATACAAAAGCTCAATGTTCTAAATGTTTCTTGTGCCAACAGCAAATACAAGGGTGGCAATGGAAGGGTATGATCTATGGATAGGGGTGAGCAAGCCTGGATATTTCTTGCTGGACTGGAAGCAATGGTGCAACAAATAAAAAAATTGGTAATGAAGTAACCCTTTAATTTCCTAAATCCCTTACAATGGACATTATCGTATGTGTGCAATATAAACAGAAGATGGATTTAAGGGGGCTACCCTCGATTTAGGCGGCTCAGAATAGAGATAAAGGCATATAAAAATGGTATATATGGAAAGAATTGCACACTGGACTGGACTTAACATTGGTTTTAGAATCTTGGGCACTATCATTTTGCAGTCAGCCAGAGATTGTTATTAATGGCTCCCCTGTTTAGGCATGCAAGGGTGACCCATGCCCCTCACATACCGTTTTGTGTTTCCAGTGACTAGGAGCTGCAATCTCCTATTTTGTTTGAAGTGCCACTTGTAAGGGAGAGCTGGTAATACAACTCATGCTTTCAAAGATAATAGTCACTATTTGATGTACAGCCAGAGATGAGGATGAACCAGAATAGAAAATCTGAAGTTCATATTGTGATCTTATGTGTGACCTCCCATAAATCAGACACTCCTTAGAAGTATTTGAGATTTAGTTTTGAACAGAATTTCATTCAAGGTCACAGGATTGGATGAGACCACCAGTGGATGCAGAATGTTCATACATTTCACAAACCATCTGTGACAGCTTTACAAGGTAAACTATAACAAAGCATGTCATGGCTACTAATCCAGAGAGAGGGACAGAACATTAAACGCAGACACAAAAGACATTAATAAGATTTAAATCACAAGACAAAAAGTCAGCACGAGAGACTTGCTGGATAGAGAGAAACCAACATTTTCCCCAAAAACACATGAAATAATTAATAGGCTGCAATCTCAGTGATGTCACCGGTCTCTAGTGAATGGATAGGCTGCACTCTCAGTGATGTCACCAGTCTCTAGTGAATGGATAGGCTGCATTCTCAGTGATGTCACCGGTCTCTAGTGAATGGATAGACTGTATTCTCAGTGATGTCTCTGGTCTATAGAGAATGGATAGGCTGCATTGTCAGTGATGTCACTGGTCTCTAGTGAATGGTTAGGCTGCTCTCTCAGTGATGTCACTGGTCTCTAGTGAATGGATAGGCTGCATTCTCAGTGATGTCACTGGTCTCTAGTGAATGGATAGGCGGCATTCTCAGTGATGTCACTGGTCTCTAGAGAATGGATAGGCTGCATTCTCAGTGATGTCACTGGTCTCTAGTAAATGGATAGGCTGCATTCTCAGTGATGTCACTGGTCTCTAGAGAATGGATAGGCGGCATTCTCAGTGATGTCACTGGTCTCTAGAGAAGGGATAGGCTGCATTCTCAGTGATGTCACTGGTCTCTAGTAAATGGATAGGCTGCATTCTCAGTGATATCACTGGTCTCTAGTGAATGGATAGGCTGCGTTCTCAGTGATGTCACCGGTCTCTAGTAAATGGATAGCCTGCATTCTCAGTGATGTCATTGGTCTCTAGTAAATGGATAGGCTGCATTCTCAGTGATGTCATTGGTCTCTAGTAAATGGATAGGCTGCATTCTCAGTGATGTCACTGGTGTCTAGTGAATGGATAGGCTGCTCTCTCAGTGATTTCACTGGTCTCTAGAGAATGGATAGGCTGCTCTCTCAGTGTGTAATTGGAGAATGACCCCAACACCCCTAAATGAATTAACTAAATTAATGATTTTTTGTAATATTTCCCAAAAACAGAGTCAGAACCCAACACTGCTAGGTAGTAGAGTATTAGTTAATTTCATTAAAATCCCTACACATCACCTTCCAGAACGGGAGCATGCATAAGACACAAATAAAGACACAAAACAAGACGATGGACTGCTGACAAAGCAAAACAAGAAAACAACTTTTTCCTCTTCGTGGAATAATCTTCCTTGATGCAGCTTTTGAACAGATGGTTTTTACAAAGATGAATATTCAAAAACGAATTGATGACAGTTGATGACATGATGTCATGAAGGTTACTTGTAAGTAACACATCCACTGGTTCCTCATTCACCCAATCAAAAAGCACTTCAGTGTCGCATGTACAGGCACAGCAGCCAATCCGTGCACTGAACCAGTACTTTATCTGCCAACCAGCACCATGGCGGTACAGAAACAAATGCTGGTTCAAAGAATAAAATGGAAGATTTTACACTTCTTTACAAAACCTTTAAAGACTTGTTTATGTCATTGATCTCTCTTAATTCTTCATAATACATTACATCCCACCTATAGCATGGACCAGTGTGAAAGCCAAGAGCATAACAGATTGATGTAGTGCAGTACATAGCTAGAAAAAGCTTAGTTTCTATCTAATGATTCATAAAGATGGTCTGTTCATGGACTTGCATCACTGAGCTCATTAACTTCAACTGAGAGCTCCCGGCTGTGTGATGTCTGTGCCCGAATCTGAGACGATGCATACGAAGGCAGACGAAGGAAGATTCTGCCATAGACACAGAACTGAACTGGCAACTATGCCAGAACCTTCCTATCAAATGCCTCATCTTAGCAAGGCTGATTTCAGATAAGGGCTCAGACCCCACAAAGCTCTCCAATAAAAGGTAATGAGCTCCCCTGGAAATTCTTCTTGATACTAGGCACCTTGATAGTCCTAAAAAATCTCTCCAGGCACAGTTACGTGGAAATCATGCCGGTGATCCTACTATCTGCACAAAAATGTATGGCACTCAGAAGGTTATGAATGCATAAAATGCTGACATCACAGCCCACTTACAGGACAGTCGGAATACAGCGGGCGATCTAAAAATCCCACCACCAAACAACGAATGACTTAACGAGACAAACATGGGAAACCTGCAGGTTTTCAAAGTCGGAGAGACGTGGAGAGGTAACCACATACCTGAAGTGCCTCTGTGTCCAGCTCTTGCCTCTTTACCTCCAGCTGAGTCAGATGCAATAACTCAGCTTCTATTAATAATATCTAGACAGAAGATGAGACAGGAGGGATTGGATAAATGAAATCTCACGCTTATGAGCTATCTGAGCTGCCATAGCAAAGCCGGGGGACAAGGGAGACCCTCTGTGGCAGCCACAAAGTTAGTTTTATGCTGGAAGGAGTCGCAGGTCATGCATTGGATCTACATCTTACGCAGAAAACAAATCACATATGTTAATAAGGAAGCCCACCAATAAAATAAATCATAGATGTAAAGTTATAATGTTCTTGTATTTTACAAGAGATTCAAAGTTACACATTGTATATTAAAATGGAACACCAACTGAAACAATACAAATTCTGGAAAGATTCTGTCAGGTGTTTATTGATGTATGTGTCCTACTGGGGAGAATTGCATTTACACCCTGTCCAGGTAAAAGTTGAATTGACCATTTCCCTCTATGCAGTGCATCCTGTATACATGTCTACAAAGTATTTACTAGGGAGGACGCTGACACCGTGATCAGCCCACAGTAGATTTTCCATAGAAATATAGGTAAAATGCACTCCAATGAGGGAGAACAGGACGTTCAGCTGACTGCAACTCCCTGGTAGTCATGGGGATAGGAAATGAGTAAATCTACCAAGTGGGGACACAGGCACCTATAAAAAACCTCATATTGGCTCTAACCCCTTCCTACTCTAATCGATATCTAATATGTAATTCCACTTTAAGAATGGATTACAATCACACGGTTACACTAGACAATCTAATGAAATAAATATTTTGAATGTAATCAATAAATGTTCCACTAAACCACAAAGGCGCGTGTTTCAGTCGCTATTGGTAACTAAACTAAACGCGCTTCAGTCGCTATTGGTAACTAAACATTGTAAAGTATTGTAATTGTAAAAGTAAAGACTTAAGAGCTATCATGTCCTGAACACTGCACTGTCAGTGGCAGTGATGAGGAAACCGATAATGTAACCGTCTCTCCTGGTACACAATGGAAAGCTATGAAACGGAACTCTATTTACTGGCACAACTTACATGCCATGTGCCTGAAAAACAAACTGCTTACTATTTTGATGTTATTCATAAATGTCGACAAAGCAAAAAACTTAAATAACACAATATACAGAACATTTGCCTCTGGGCGGAAGCAATGTCATTTTACTTCGCCCACTATTCTCGTTTAAAGAGGAACTCTGGCAACATTTTTATCAACCCTTGCAGTGGGGCTTACCCTGCACTGCAAGGGTTAACAGCTCATTTTGGTCTAGGGAGGAAAATTTTAAAAAAGAGTTATACTCACCCAATCCTCCAAGCAGGCTTACTCTCAGACCGGTCCTTCCAGCCATGCTCCAGCAGTATAAGTCATCATGTTCTATAGGGCATGAGGACGCTGAGGGACATTCTATCGCTGGATAGAAAAGACAGGCAGAAGGGAGCGCTGTCCGGCCCCAAGGATCGGGTGAGTATAACCTTTCCTCCCTAGGCCAAAATGAAGAGTTACCCTTGCAGTGTGGGGGTAGCCCTTAAGGAAGGCTTAAGAATAGTATTGCCTGGAGTTTTCTTCAAAAAGGACCAGTCATAACTTGGCTAATGCAAAAATCCGATTATTCATTCCTATGTTAAACTGTGCAGGGCTTACATATATATTTGCCCTTCTATTCTAACTTGAATTTGCCTGCTCTATCTCCCAGCTCTAACGTGTGTATACCAGCATCCTATAAAGGGGTCTCATGGCTGTTACCCTTAAACTCTAGATCTCTAATATTGAATGCTGTAATACAACATTCTTGTTAACAAGGCTCACAATGTATTACTTAGTTCTGCACCTCATAAAGGACTCCCTCGTTTCTGACTCTGCAAGCTATAACACTCATCTACATTTCTACAAGAAACCCCGTACATCTTTTACCATGAACCCTAACATGGCTTATGCGTAAAAGATAACATAGAGCTACACTGGATGGATATAAAAAACACATTATAATAGACTAGACTTCTCCTGGTGAAAGTGCTACTTCAGGCTCTCTCCGGCTGTTTACATTATCAAAACCATAGGCACCTGGTCACGTGATCCCCAATGAAGGAGATGATTAGTGAAGGTTCTCATTCATCCAGGTCATGGTATATCTTATTTTTTACAGAGATGATTAGAGTTCAAACTGCCAGATCCCCCCTATTAGCAGAGATCATATGAAAAAATGCCTAGGCTTTTGGTCATGTGAGCAAAACTAGAGAAACCTTGGAGCAGCACGTATTTCATCCTTTCTGGTAATGATTATATATCCATCCCAGCAAGACTGTTAACATTACTTTGTCTCTCTCCTTTTATTTAGTAATAATAAAATCATACCAAGACTAACACATTATTGATGGTGCTGGAATTTATAGCAGCTTTCATAAGCATTTAAAAACAAAAATAATCCCCCATGCTGTGTGTTCAATGTCTAAAAATGTTCAGTTAATGGCTGGTTTTTCTTGTGTAGAGACCTCTTTGTTGGGAAAAATGTTCTGGATGGAGGTCCTGCTAAAAGTACTGGATGAGTGAAGCCCAGAGGAGTGCCAGCGTCTTAACTTGACTTAATGCTTCTATAACATTTCTCACTCCTGATGCTCTCTATAATACACATGCATTGTCTCCCAGAAAAATGCAGCAGCAAAGGGCAATGATAAAAGAAAGTGAAAAGCAACAGCCAGGCAGGGCAGGAAGAAGGCCAAATAACATGCTGAGATGTTGGCAAAGGTGAGCATGGAGGAGCTGCTATTTAGAATCAACACATCACATACGGCAGCAGATTCAAAACTACACTGAGCTAAAACATACCCTAAGGGAAATCCATACTGAGAAGGCATGGAGGCTGCCATCACTGACCTCTGCTTGTGAAAATACATACTAGTTCCCTTACAGTCATACTGATACAATGGCTTCAGTATTGTGTGATCCATTGACCTGGAGCAAGTATGAAGATCAGGAGTTGTGACTTCACTTGCTGTATCTCCTTGTTCCAGGTCAGCAACCCAAAAAGTATGCAGACCAGAGAAAACGAACATTTTCAGGTCCTTGATAGCAGCCTCTGTGTTTCCCTCAAAAAAAGCTATATTCATTTTTATGCAGATGCCCCATTATTAAGATGTTTAATAAGTAATGGGTGAAGTCTTCTGGCTGCTCTAATCTGATGAATGGTGAGATGTAGCTGCCATTGGTCACCATAAATTATCATTCTTTGCTCTGCCATACTATATGGCAATGAGCAGCAGTGAATTGATTAAAGCATTATTCCTCTCTTTGAATCTCATGTACAGTTGCCATCTCTTCTTGATTAGTTCCCCTTCAGATCACACCCACCTGTTCCCGTATCTGCCGATGCATTAAATCTTTCTTCAGCTGCAAGGCCTCGAAGGCAACTTTCTGCAATTCTGACTGGAAAGGAAGGGGTTAAAATCAAGAGTCAGACCAATTTTGATCATTATAGGTAAAGATTATGTGTGCTTAAAATGTAGGTTTGGGGTAAAAAAAAATGAAATAAGTCAACCCAAAAAAGATTTTGTAGTTATTGGGGTTAATGGGATATTTAAATCCACTGCTCCTTAACCATTCAGGAAATGTAACTAAGTTATCTGCATGGATTAGTGTTCAGGCTATATTACAAAAATTCTAGGAGCAAAATGTTGCTGCATTAAAGAATGTAGGGATAAGTCAGCCCAGATGCATCTACCCAACTCAAATATCAGTTTGAGTGGGATTACCTTTTAAACCTGTCCACAAAATAAATGAATGGAACCATCTTGGAGATTATCATATGCTTACAATGCTTAATCCTATCAATTTTCTAAGGAACCCACAAGGCATAATGATTTATGCCTTGGTAATGTCACCGGTTCTCAGTATATTGAAAGGTAGAAACTTCAATATTGCTTCAGCCAAAAAAACGGGCTCTCTTCATTGTATAGTGGGAAAAGGTACAGCCCAAAGTCCTCCCAAAACTGATATTTTAGGTATGTCACTAGCGCCAAGGGAACTGCCGTGTTGAATTCTGGTTCAGGCCTGTTGAAGATACACTATAAAAGGACATTCTGCACATACCTCTTGTAGGATCTGGCTGATGGCTTTACTCTGATCCAGCTGCTGCCATGACTGGATTTGCTGGAGCTTGTGGTCCATTTCTGCCAGGCTGTTAACAGAAATATCAAGGTTCTGAATGAAAATTACAATAAACTATGAAATGTATCACATAAAAGTCCTTCCAAATTCAGCAGCTCTTCCATAAAATGAGAGTTTACAACACCCATTTATTTTTTTAGGTTCTAGAGGTGCATTACACCTTTAAGCATAGTAAAATCTAATATAAATTCCAACTAAATTACATCAAGTTTAAAAAAATAAAAAAAATAACGTTTTCACCATTTAAAACAAATATTTTTTTTTTGCATCTCAATGTTGCTGATCTTCTGCACCTTTTACCTGCCACCTTATAACAGGAAGCGCCTGAACAAGGACCTTCATAGCAAAATAATTTCATGATAGATGCAGATACACTGTCACTAGATTAAAGATTCTTAGCTAAACACTGCAATCAATCAAGATAAATCAGTACATATCTGGAGCCCTATTTATTTATTAAACCACTATATGTGCTTCCTGACATCAGTGAATATAATGCATAAGTATCAGGGACAGTTGCCTAGTAATGCTGACGGTTCTCTGCTTTTACCCTCCCAGCTGTGAAATAAGTCTACTCCTGCGAGCGTTTCCCTACAGCAATTTGACCGTTGTGTGGCCACGTCAAGAACCTCTCTGTGGTTGACAAAAGTCAATTTTTCAATCAACTCTTGTCCGAGGAGCCAGTCGGAAAAAACTTGACAGAACAGTGTCTGCAGTGCATTCTGCAGTGTCTGAACAGTGTCTTGGAAGAACAGAATCAGCTGCAGTCACTGTTCAGGTATTCTGACAGCAGAAAACCTGTCACTGTCAGAATACAATAGCCCAGCTGAGGAGATTCCCCCACCTACAGTGTTTCCCCGAAAGTAAGACCTACCCCGAAAATAAGACCTAGCACTATCTTCAGGGATTTCTGTAATATAAGATCTACCCCAAAAATAAGACCTAGTTCGGTGGTAGGTCTTATATTACAGAGATCCCCAAAGATAGTGCTGGCAGCTAAGACATCCCCCGAAAATAAGACCTAGTGTCTTTTTTCGTAGAAAAAAAAATATAAGACACTGTCTTATTTTCGGGGAAACACGGTATGTATTTCCCCATTCCCCAATCCCCCATCCACAATAACAGTGAATTGAGAAATATACCTTGTTCAGCCCGCAGGCTTGAACTAGAAAAATGGTGCATGGCCAGCTTTAGGAAACGAATTAATCTGTAACATGATAAAGTGCCTTTGGAAACGTAAGTACTACTAGCTTCTGTGGCTGTTGTTATATTTCTCTTCCTACACTGACAGATCTCAAGATTGCTTGTTTTTATAGTCTGAGATCCGATGTCTGTGCTGGAAACTTACCCCCAGACTGCACAGTACTGCTCATGCCACTGATCTAACATCCAAGATGGCAGAGCCCTGCAGTGACCTGGGACTCCTTTTTCAGGAACCACAGGAGACGCTTTAGAAGCAATTTTAAAGCACATGTAAGTAACCTCAAAATGTCATATATACTCATTATCAGAGATCAAAATCTGGGGACTCTATTGAAAATTGCTTTTGAAATGTCTTTAATATGTTAAAGTTTATATGCGAGTTTAGTGTTTAACTTTACATATATTGTACTGTAAAGCTGAACAACATCAGAATTCTGACAAAAGGTACAAACCTTTCCTCGCAATATTGTGCAAGAAGAAAAAAAAGCTTTGGACGGAGCTGTACATAAGGGCTGCATTCACAATTCTCTGTTTTACTGCTGCATGGCTATTCAAAATCCTTTCCATATAAATTGTCAAATGCACCAAAAACAACTAACAGTATACAAAAAGAAGAGGTACAAACATAGCCTGATGCGCAGAGCAGTTTTCACATCTTTCATACACGGGCTGCTTCTGTGCTAATGTATTTTATACTCTTTGTGAGATACAAGATGCAGGATGTTTGCATAAATGTTGCATAATGCTTATTAGGCAAGTTCTAAATTGAAGTGTTCCTTAAAACGTCTCTAAACCCAAGTAGAAAAATAATAGAAACTGCATATTGTGCAGTTTTTTTGTCTGTAGATGTGGTGGCTTCATTTGTTTTTCCTGTTTTTTCCCCCTGGGGTTTTAAGTCCCAGGGTGACAACGCACGCTCACCTTTCTGTATTAATGGACTACAAAGCACTTAAACTCTTCTCAGCTCTATAACATAGGAGGGAGGGGTTTCCAGAGAAACCCCAAAGGAAGACAATGCAATTTGCCTTATCATGGATGGTGCCCATTGACATTACTGAGTTGTAGTAGGAACACGGTGTTTTGCGTCGACAAATGACAATTTTTTTTAACACAATGGGATGCGGCGTGGTACAACCTCCTTGCACCACGCTGTGCCCGTAGAACTGAATGAAATGTCACTTGTGACATTTCAATAAAGTTCTAACAAAAAAAAAAAGCTGGGATCGGCGCTTCGGCATTGTGACGGGCACCGCACACATGACGCTGTGCAATGGTGTAAATTGGCTTTAATTGTGAATGACCTTTATTTAACAAATATAAGAAATCACTCTTATTAGTATATTTAAAAGACCAAAATGGGCCAACTAAGAGAAGTTCAATCTCTTATTTGGCTCATTATTATGGCTAAATTCACAGCCATTCTGACAGGTGACGCTCAGACACTTCTGGTAGTGTTGGAACTAGCCGCTGCCTCCTCCACACACTCACTACTGAAGGCTGCCTCAATGGCCAAAAGGAATTGTCACCAGTGGGAACATGTTCAATAGGCATCTACAGAGCTGCCAGGAGGTGGGGTAGTAGCCACAGTCAGCAGGATTGAAGGCTCCAAAAAGTTAGGTCACCTTTCTTATGTATTGCTGTGACACAGGTAGTAAACAGGTATGTACATAACAGACCTTTTGGCAGGTAAATCCATCTCTTTGTAGGTCTTCCAGCTTCTGTTCCAAAAAATCAAATATTGTTCAGGCAAAGGCAGACACACTCGCACCAGAAAGAACATCTAAATGTCATACGATTCCTGAACCTTTTGAATGCTTACTGGCATATTAACCTTTCACAATACTGCGCTCAATAAAGAGTATCCAAAAAAGCTGACCAAGATTTGACAAGTTCACTAACAAAAGAAAACCGGTCATTTAATGAATAACCTTCATTGTCCTTGCACAGATGCAATAATTAGCCAGAAGCAACCTGTCCCCTGTTATTCTGTGAAGCAGCACGCAATCATTGACAGCGGTCATATTACTTGTAATCTTGGATTTTTCCATCTCACCTGGAACATGTCTGGTAAACCATCTCCTGGCGCCTCGCTTCATAAGCCACCTGCAGGAGCTTGTTCTTGTAACTTTCTGCCAGCATTTGCTGCATTGCCGCTGGTGAGAGAGAGAGAGAGAGAGGTGAAAGCTAATGTTAGTCTGCACTGCTGCTGTGATGAGGATTTCTGTTATGAAATGATTTTAAATAACTGTGAAGACAGAATCCATGTTATCAATATAAGATCTCTTATTTATACGGCTATGGCAATGTGATCAATTTATGTCTGAGCATTTGTGTAAGGTGGACCAAAAAAATGTGGGACATTCTTACACTAGTAGGCAGGGTAAAGTATTATTAATTAGAGTTTGAAAACTTTTGGCTACACAATTATATACAAGAGAGAAACAGTATTTATAATGCAAAGCAGGAGATTCTACATCTGGGACTTTAGTGCTAGTATTCTTGAGTGCAGGAAGGTTGGTCTTCAGCATAGAAGATCCTGGATCGGGAGAGTTGAATTTGGAAATAGAGAGCTAGGTCTAGATAAGAGAGGACTGGCGTGATTGTTACAGAGATGTCTAGTGTTAGGGATTTACAAAGGAAGGGCCAGCTTTAGATAAATTGGGGCCCTGGGTAAGAGTCAGGGGTTGGACCTCCTTGGTCACAATTCTGTAGGCTGTACAACACAACACAGTTTATAAGGCTCAGAATGCTCTATTCCAATGCGCCTTTCGAAAAAATAAATGTTCTAAAAAGTTAAAGCAGAGTGTTTAATGCTATGGAGTGCGTCAGGCTGCATGATAAAGTACTGCTGCTGTAACAGTTCAGCTCTCATCATGTGCAGGGGAAATCAAGGGCTGGTTGGAAGCTTCTGGGGGCCCTTAAGAATGTGGGGGCTTTGGGTAATTGCCCTCAGTCCAAATGCCAGCTCTGATAGGAAAGTAAGTGTTAGGATTACAGGCAGAGCTACTGTTAGGTTTACAGAGGTCAGTATTAGGGTCACAGGGAGTGTTAGTGTGAGGTTTACAGAGAAGGTCAGTATTAGGGTCACAGGGAGTGTTAGTGTGAGATGTACAGGGAGGGCAAATGTGAGGGTTACAGGGTGGGTTAATGGGAGAGTTACAGGGTGGGCCAATGTGAGGGTTACAGGGAAGGTTAGTGTTAGGGTTATATGGTAGGTTAATGTGAAGGGGAAAGGGAGAGTCAAAGTTGGGGTAACAGGCAAAGACAGTGTTAACCCCGTGTCACCCTAGCCACAACTCGCCAAAAAAAATGAGGCTCTCTAAAAACAAATGTGAGCAGATATCCAGAGCATTGGCTGGCCTATTTTCTAACCCACACTAATTAAAACAATTAGAACTAGAACATACTCCCAATGCACAATATGGACACCTTCGTCTATGTTAAATAAATGATCTTCAATATCTCCTTGCAATAAGCAGAGAGTGTAAACAGGAAAGTGTAAATGGCAACATTATGTAGCTGAACAGCAGGTGTAGTCCCTACCAGCAACTTCTTTCCGTCGAAGGTTTTCGGCCTCTTCCTGTGTGATAGCCATGAGGTGCTCCATTTTTATCCTATGCAACACAACATAATAGGATATGTCACTCACAGAATTATTTAACATGTGCATCCTCATTTGTACACACCACTTTTTTAGCTTTGGATAGAGATGCAAAGGGTTAGAACCTGACAAGAGATTCATCCTCTCTCAATGTCACTAGGACAGGAAGAGAGGGACGATCCAAATTTCTATAGTTGTCATTTGAAACGAGGGTAAGGGTAAATCTTCCAAAGGGGACACCAGTTTTGGTGTTCTGCTGTCTAAGAGGTGATTTCCCAGATTTCTCTAATTTCCCAGTGGGTCCCTGGGACAGGAAGTGAAGAGAAATCGCCCCAAAGGAATGCATATAGCAAACCAAACCTGACAGGCGTTTAACCAAAACCCGACTTTAGCCAGACTAAAAAAAATGTTAAGGAGAAGAAAACTAAAGGTGTGATTAGAAATATAATTTAGCAATGACTTAGTTCCACTTAGGTTCAGTACATGCAAAAAAGGTTTCCCTTTATAAGACAGAAATCATTACTGTATAGTGTTTAGATGTGTGCCAGAAAGTTTTACCATTGTCAATTGTTATTCATTTAAAACTGTTGTTACCATATCTGAAAGAAAACAGTAGACATTTCCTACAAGAATGATTACCTACCAACATGACAGGAAGGGACGGTAAACCTAGACAATGAGAATTCAGACAGCAACAAAAACTTGACAGAGGTTATAACTCTTCCCTGCTCTACTGAAAGAAAAGTCTGCAACTTGGTTATAATTCCCTCCAGAGTGAAAATCAACAGTTACAATGCACAGATGTCAGACATACTGTATATCATCTTGACAGAAATGTTAGGTTATGTGCTTTGATGGTTTCTGTCACAAATCAGGGATCTCTTGCAAACTTTTAGAGTTCATGTCAAGCCAAAATGTTTTTTCCATTTGTGGGGAAATATTAGAACTCATAACTGCATAACTGTGATCCGGGACTCTGTTGGGAAGATTTCTCTTCACACTCTGTCCTGCTGATGACAGTTTTACTATACAAGAGAGTGAGGAATAATCTGCAATAGGGACACAGACAGGTACAAAAAGCATTTTTTTCTGTCTGCATTGTGGTTGGAGAGTTCCCCTTACTTCCTGCCTGTGAGAATGACAGGAAGTGAGGGTAAATCTCTCTAGCAGATCCCCAAATAGTAGTCAAACCTGACAGGGGTTCAAACACTTCCCAACTCTATCCAACCTGAACTTTAATAAATCTTTGCAAAGTGAATTTTATGACTTTGCCCCTTTTAATTCTGCTATGAAGGTGGTGGTAATGCAGTCAGCCATATACACAGCAAAAACAAATCGTTCTCTGGGGTATATATAATCTCACATATACTGTATATTACTGAGTGGCAGCTTGGGCACCTTTGTGCTGCTTAAAATCAAATGCTATAAGCTGGAATTCCCTTTGCAAGGGCCAGTCCGCCTGAAATTGAGTTTTCTCTTCCTGACTTTTATTGTTTGGATAATCCCCTGTTGAGGTATTTCTTGCATAGTCCTTAGCACTGATCTCACCCATTTTGGAGTCTCTTTGCTAAAAAACTGGTGTTCTAGCTCCCCCTGTTAGACTCTCTAAAGTATAAAACAAATAAAAAATCCAGCAGAGAGTGTTGGAACCCCTCCTAATAGCACAACAGGTGTGCAAACCTGGGAACTCAACACAGAGACACCCCCCCACCCCCCAATAGTTCCCTGATGGGTAGAAGACAGGTGATTTAACTCTCCAGCATGTGTTAAATCAGACATAAAAGTTTGGGGTAAACTAACATTTAAGTGACATTAAACCCTCAGATTTTTTAACATAAACCAATACTGTAATGTGTGCCTTACTGTAATCCATGGTTGTTTCCCTTCTCTTTGCTGCTCTTCCTTTTAAATCCTCATGTCTTCTCATGCTTGGGGAGAACTTCCCTTTGCAGCTGACTGCCTCTTCCTGTAGTGCTGGTTCAGGTTACAAACCTACACACAGACACCATGTATCCCTTTCAGAGACAAGGCATTCTGCTGCAAAACAGAAGTTCTGCCCAGCATGAGAACAGATACAGATTTAAAAGGAAGAGCAGCAAAGAGAAGGGAAACAACCATGGATTACAGTAAGGCACACATTACAGTATTGTTTTATGTTAAAAAATCTGAGGGTTTAATGTCACTTTAATATAATTATTAATGACAGGACTAATGTAATTTACCTTTCATCTTCCAGAGACTTCAGGATGGCAGAGCTTTGCTTCTGTCTGCAGAATGAAGAGAAGGTTCATTTTAAAACCAGAATTATAGTTACTCAGCCAATAGATTTGCACTTCCTGCCTCTTCCCTAGGGTAATGTCACACTTGCCTTCTAATTGCTATGGAGGACATTGCAAGGAGGTGAAACACTGACCTGCTTTCATGTGTCACTTCTGAAATAATAGCGTGATCCCCAAGCCCAAGACTGGAATGGAGACGTATGGATTAGCAACAGGAAGCCTGCGCTATGCAATTCATAAATCAATGCATAAAGGGATCCGATGGACCAAATTATAAAGATAACAAGTATCCTAAGCCTTACAAGTGATCATTAACACATAAGGTTAAACCTAACCTGTAAGGGAACCTAGAACTCTAAACCTAACCCCTAAATCTCTACCCCTACACCTTAAGCGAACCTTTAAAATGCACATGCCTGCAGTAGCTTTCACCACCCTCTGATCAGGAAAAGCTTTGCCACATCCTGACAGTGTTGAAGCTTGCCCACTCACCTCCCACCCATACATATTGGCAAGTGAGGTATGCTATCAGTGATATACAACAATAATCTATGGGAGGCAAGGTGCAGACAAGCTTCAAAACTACCAGGAAGTGTCAGAACTTAAACCACTCAGATAGCCCCACATTCAATCATTGATCTGTCCTGTACTGCAGAAATGCAGTTGCCTGAAGAACCTTTAGTATCCAACACTTCCAGTGTTGGATGCATGGTCTCTGCTGAGCTCTGTTCCTCCTCCTGCCAGCCTCTACAGGACACAGTCAAATTTAATACAGCTGTATTTCTGCATTACAGGGCAGATCAGTGGTGTAGGCAGCGGGAGAGACAAGTGTGAACTCTCTTCTTTGCAAGGGGCACTTTATTTTTGATACTTTTTCTAGCAACAGGGTGACTTTAACCACCAAGAACCCCTTAACCTACTCCATTACATTTAATGAACCCCTACTCTGATAACCACCTTCTTCAAAAAAAAAAGTTCATACATAACGCCCTAGCTCTAGGAGTGCCCGTAAGACTATAGCAAAGTGCATTAGGAAAGTTCTAGGTGAATTATTTTAGGTCCCCCTGTCATTTGGATAGTTTTAACTGATCCTCATTTTAATACATTATACCTTTAAATTAGGGATGTCCCAATACCATTTACTTCAGACCAAGTACAAGTACTTTCCCTTAGGTACTCACAGATACTAATTACTGATACTTTTTCTTAAAGGGACATGTGTCATTTTTTATAAAACAATACAGACTAATGATTTTAGGGCATTTTAGGGCAATTCCTCACCAGGGCTGCGCACAGATCTCACCAGGGCTGTGCACAGCTCTCACTCAGCTCAGGTCTCACCAGAGTACAGGTCTCACTAGGTCTGCCTGTGGGTCTCACCTACGCTCTGCTTCCAGGTGCTGTGCTGAACGGGGGGGGCGGCGAGCTGCACAAGGGGGTTGTCGGTCTTGTGCCGGCTCCGGGGTTGTATGTGTGGTGCTGTCCTGAACTGTGCCGACGCCGGGAAGGAGGAGCAGATGTGGGACTGGGCAGGCACTATCAAAGACAGCTACTGCCAGGTCAATGGAAGGCTGTCTGAGGTCTCCACAAGCATGGGACTTCAGGCAGCCGATCCGGTTTAAAAATGTAAAGGGCCGATATTGGCCTTTAGTATTGGGGAATTTTCACGAGTACATGTACTCATGAAAATGCCCTGTATCGGCCCCGATACCAATACTAGTATCAGTATCGGGACCTCCCTACTTTAAAATAACAGTTCTCACTTCATTATGACCAGAAATATAAAAGATTTGTAAACGAGATCTGACCTGCGGTTTTCTTCCAGCAGATTTGCGATACGATATGATATTCCCTTCTCCATATGCTTCAGCTGATCCTGCAGCTTCAGTCGCTCATTCTGCAGCTGACGGTGATGTTCATTAAACCCCTTGTCTAACCTGGATTGTTCCTGACAAACACAAATTAAGTGTAAAATACAAATACAGTGTGAAATAAAAATACAGTGGGGGGAATTTAACAAAATTGGAGCAGATGTGCATTGCAACCAATCAGGTTCTCTATTCAGTTTGTTCAGTTAAGATTTGAAAATGAAAGAGAGAAGCTGATTGGCTGCCATGCACAGATTTTGTCTGCTCCAGTTTTTAAAAATTCCCCTCAGTGTGTCAATCCACCACTAGAGGGCCCTCATCCATAACCTAAATATATCATAAGAGAAAAACTGGCATACAATTTATCAGTATATAAACAATGCATGCCAGGTACATGTGGGAGAAGAAACTCAGTACTCAAATCCAACGAATTCTCCCCCTTGGAGATGTTCTCTTGCTAATTATGAAACTGATAAACTGCATGCCTTCTTTTTGCACAAACTAGAGCTTTTCAAGTTTTTCTGTACCCATCATGTGTCATTGTGTCCTTCAAGTAAGCTTCCTCCTATTTCAGTTACTTACATTTTTGTTGCAGAGTGAGATGCAACTTTGAGAGGCAACTTAAAGGTTGGTTATCATGCCCTCCTCCTTAGTGGGCTGCTCACCCCCTTCCTCTCCTACAATATACTGTATTTGTTATTGCAAATAATTACCAGCAATCCCACTCCTCTGAGATTACCGACTGGTGATGCAGGCTCTTCTGCAAAATACTCCCAGATGGCTGGTGTGCCTCACTGTGCAGGCATCCGGCCAGACTCATTTCAGTGGAGTGCCTGTAAACCTCCCATCATTGGCCACAAAGCAGAGATCTCAAAAGAGGCGGGTTACAGGTAGGTACCTACAACTATGAAAATGCTACAGGAGGCAAGATTGGACCACTAAGTACAATAGACTTTTAATAGCGCGGTGCAGCTTCCATATACCAGAAAAAAGAAAAAAAAAAGAGACTTCAGGTTCTGTGCAGATTTTAGAGATATGGTTTAAGAAGAATTCATACTGGTTATGCATTTCTTTTATTTTAGTATATTATTTAAACTGTGACAAACAGCCCCATTGGGTTCCAGGCAACGTCCAGGATGGTGTTTACCTGCCTCCGGGGCCGATTCAAGGCATTTGTGGGCCCTGGGGAAAAAAAATCTATTAGTGCCCCCCCTCCCCCCCAGCCTGATGTCTCGGGTGGAGGGTCTCTGGAGGGCTTTTTTTATCTGGGAAAATAGGGATTGCATCTCAATAGCAGTATTACAGCAAACGAATTACAATTTTACTAAGCCATTACGTAGTTCTGCCACAGACTCCAAGCTGTGGAGGGACTACAAATCTCTGCAATACATTTAAGAGCAATGCAGAATAATAACACCAGCTACAGAGGACTACAAATGCCAACAACACATTATAGAGCAATGCAGTATAATACCACCAGCTACAGAGGACTTCAAATGTCAGCAATACATTATACAGCAATGCAGAATAACGCCCAGTATCGGAATCGTTGCATCCCTACAAGTTACTTATTCCTTACATTGCTGAGCAATGTAAGCAACAGAAACTTGTATTGTCATACAAAATAAATGATTGCTCAGTTATATACAATCAATTCTAGTGATTGTACATGACTGAGCAATCATTTATTTTATATGACAATACAAGTTTCTATTCCTTACATTGCTCAACAATGATTGCTCAGCCGCAATGCCATAGACAAACAATCAGCAGCATGAAGGGTCACTTACTAACTTAAGGGCCACACACAGTAAGGCAGAGGATCATCTGCTAAGGTTAGGTCTCTTTCTCCATTCTCCTCAGCTCGGCTCTCAGGAGGCAGCTCTGGCAGGCACAGTTCCTTGTTGCTGCTTGGAAAAACAATGTGCGTGGCCGCAAGGAACTAAGTGAAAGCTGTAAATGTGGGCCCAAGAGGTGACAGTGGGCCCTAGGAAATCACCCACTTTGCCCATTGGATAAAGCAGCCCTGCCATGCCTAGACTGTGGCATTTTAGGAGATAAGCATTGGCCCCAACTAAATCTGGAGCAGCTGTGCATGGCAACCAATCAGCATCCACCATTAATTTTCAAAGCTAAACTGAACAAACTGAAGATAGAAGCCGATTGGTTGCCATAGGCAACTGCTCCAGATTTTGTCTGCTCCAGTTTTTATAAATCCCCTTGCCTGTCTTTGATTTGTGTTTGATGTGACGGTGTTGAATAAATATGGGCAGGAAGCCCTTAAATGTACTGCACTACCTCCCTGCAAGTTCTACATTTGAAGTTGACCCCTACAATACATATAAAAAACAGATATAAAGAATTTGTTTAAAAAAATATATTTTTTTAAAGTGTTAAGTAGAAAAACAGACCCAAAGTTTTTCTTTAATCAGATCCTCTAATGGATGGCAGACCTAAGTGCAGTGGAATGTGCTTGTATGAGCTACCAACAGCTACACTCACCTTTTTGACTGTCTGGAGGATCTCATCTTTATGGGAATTGTTCTGCAAGAGGAGCTTAGCATGTTCTCTCTGGCCCAATTCCAAGCGGCGTTCGAAATCCAGCTTTTCCAGCATTTTTTGTTCCTAAAGCATATAATTGAGTATACCATGTTATTCACCTCATCAGAAGATTGGTGTGCTTTTACTGAATTTGCTTTTTTTTTGTTTTTAAAGTAAAAATATTATGCAAGTTTTTACCTAGTGTCTGGAATGATTGACATTAAACCCCACCCCCGAGGCGCTAAATCACCAGGACTTACCTTTCTCTTCTCATATTCAGAAAACTTGTGCTGTAATAAAAAAACAGAATAGGATTTAGCCCTTCCATACAATTCCATTAGAGCTTACAACCAATTGTTATACCCAGCGATCATTCTAGTTCCAGACCTAGAGTCAAACAATCCCATCCCCAAAGTCTACTCTAACCACAAAGCCCATTAAAATCATAAAAAGTAAAATAATGGATTGAAATACAGACAGTCCCCGAGTTACATACTTACATACGATTTCTACACACAAACGGAGGCTATTACTGTACAGCAGGGGTAGTTGTAATGCTACGGCGCTCGTGCTGATGAGGAGTGCCCGCCTTTTTGGGTCTGGTTCGTAGTACTGTACGTACATTACAGGAAGCTGGCTCTTGTTAGACATACAGACGAGGGGTGCCCACCTCTTCCTCCGGGTCACTGTGGGTTTTTACTGCTGTCTGTATCCTCATTAGAAAGATTTAATCTCACTTCCTGTCTGGAGACAACAGGAAGTGAAAGGAAATCTACCCCTAGGAAGGGAAATTCACTCCTGTATGAGTTAACATGGGAAAAGGTGTCTCCACTGGAGCTTTATCACCAATCCATGTTTCCACGACAACTCAACATTTTCAAAATCCAATTATCACAGGGACAGAAAGTGAGGTGAAATCTTCTGAACAGGGACACACGCAGCAAAACAAACTTTACAGGGGATTAACCCTTCCCTATGCTATCCAAATCAACAACAAAGAATTTGGGGCTGGAGTTACACTTAAAACATTTACCTGTTCCAACTTACATACAAATTCACTTAAGAGCAAACCTACAGTCCCTATCTTGTTTGTAACCCGGGTAATGTCGGTACAGGCAAATTATTGATCGGATGATCCTTTCAGATTAGAAAGCCCAGGGCTGTAACCCGGGTAATGTCTGTACAGGCAAATTATTGATCGGATGATCCTGGCAGATTAGAAAGCCCAGGGCTGTAACCCGGGTAATGTCTGTACAGGCAAATTATTGATCGGATGATCCTGGCAGATTAGAAAGCCCAGGGCTGTAACCCGGGTAATGTCGGTACAGGCAAATTATTGATCGGATGATCCTCGCAGATTAGAAAGCACAGGGCATAGTTGCTATTTGCAGCCTATTTGCTATTTGTTCACGATTAGTTGAAAGCAAACTTGTACCCAAGGAAATGTGGAAGCTACCATTAATGACCTCCCTCTGACAAAGCTAGTTGCCTGGCTATCATGATGATCCAACGGCTTTATTTTATTCTGAATCACTGATCTGGAACAAGTGTGCAGAACAGGAGTTTGGATTTACTCTGACTTCACTTGCTTCACACTTGTTCTAAGTCTGTAACTCAGCTGAACTACAGTGTTCATGGGGATGTCAGCAAAAACAGCCCCTATATTTACTTTAGTACGCGTTTCCTTAAGGCCTGGTTCACACCTGGGCGTTTTACAGCACGTTCCTACGCACTGCCAAACGCTCAACATGTGAAAACCAATGATTGCCTATGGGCATGGTTCCCACCCGGGCGTTTTACAGCGTGTAGGAACGCGCTGCAAAACGCCCAAAGAAGTACAGGAGCTTCTTTGGGTCTTTGGGGCGTATTTGCTGCGCGCATCCATGAGGATACAGTCGGATAGCCCTCGGAAACGCGTGTTTGTCGCACGTTTCTTTTACCGCAAATCGCGGCACGAAACGTGCGGCACACACACATATTCTGTACGCCTAGGTGTGAACCCAGCCTTAATCCTTTTATGACCAGAGGTCACTAAAGCCTATGCATCAACGCCAAATTTAGCACCGGCAGTATATGTCAATTAATTTGACAAGAACTCTATGATGAATTTACATAACTGAATCATTTTACATGGTTTTTAAGAACATAATACAAGGTTTTATTTGTTACACTGCTTTGATAAATACCCTGCTCATGTTTTCATTATAGGCAGCCAAATAAATGTTCCATTTGCATATTAATGTATTTGTATCTGAGAATTAACAAATTTAACAGTGACATCTGCAGGCTGAAGCTATACTTTGTAAATAAACCTCCAGCCTGGCTGGGGATCACCATGATTGGCTTTCATAGTAATAACTGTGTTCAGGAACCATGCAGATTGGTTCCTGATCATTAGGGGAAATACAGAGCTGTCATTTAATGACAAATACTGAAAACTAGGAACATACACAGCTGTGTGTTCCTAGTTCAAACCTGGATGAATGTTTAGGTGTCCATACATTGTACTGTTTTTATTCTAAATTTTTCATTTGTGGAACGAACCCTTGTTCGATTATACCTAGACTTCCCCATCAAGTATAGTCAAATATCGATTTCAGAAAATCGTTTGTTAACCGCACTAACTAACCAGTTTTTGATGAACAATGGAAATAATTTCCTTTTGCACATGTAGCGTGCTCTTGCGGAAATGTTTGACGAATGAAAATACCACTGATTCATCGATTTTCCTTCAATCAGAATAAAATGTTACAACCTGACCGATCAAAAAATATTGATCACAATATCAAAAACGAAAATCGGTGATGTACCATCAACTGTTCGATTTGCGTTTGATAAACCGTTTGCGTACGATTCCCGAACGAAAATCGCACAATGTATGTGCACCTTTAAAGCTTCCACAGCTTCTTCCTTTCGTTCATTTTCCAAAGTCCTTCCAGCGCTGGTGCCGGTCTCTAATCCAGCGCAGACTCCTCGGGTCCCACAGTGTCTGTCTGACGTGCACGCTCCAATCTGCCCGGCTGCGTCTATTCAGCTTTTATGCCGCTCTCCTCCTCTCCCCTCCGCTGCTCTGGATTGCGCATTCACCCGCCCACACTTCCTCCTTCATAGCATTCGGGAGTCGGGTCTTCTGCAGCTGGGAGCGAGCGGCGCTGACACAGGTAAATTTGTTGGTATTTGCCAACTTTTTTTTTTAAATGTTGGGGCATATACAGTATCTACTGCTTACTAGCAGAAGATATATGGCAAAAAAAAAAGACTTTAATTCTTCTTTATTAACTCCAGGCATGGATTACTGCACCCCAGAAAGGCAATAGCCAGAATGAAGATGCCATCTGTTTAATACATCTTAAAGTGACAGTAAACTCAGGTGTTAAATCTTGATAATGCATTCAAGTACCTTAACTAGTAACAAAAATGTATCATATTTGTGTGTAGATCTTGGGTGTAGATCCTGAAAATTATCTCTGAATTGGTGCTGACACTGTCCTTCCTTCTGGAGTGTGGCTATTTCCTGATTGAACTCCTGAATTTAGCGTCATTTTATACATAGATCACCATACTACAGTGGCCCCCTAAAGAGGACCCATATTTGAGCAGTGCACAGATGCTGTAAAGGAAGAGGCTGTAGAAGCTGTACTCTAATCTTGCAGTTACAAGGAATCCTTCCTCCTCATTTGCAGCATTTTTGCCAACTTTACAGGTGCTCTCTAAACTGCATTACACAAGGATATTAACCTGCAGCCTCCAACTACTAACACTGGGGTCCTTCAGACAAAAGTTAAAAAAAATAAAAAAAAATTGTAAAATAAATTATTCTATCAATTTGCGACACTGAGCACTATTCCAAAAAGTGTAACTGTGTGATCTCCATACTGTTGAGTATTACTGCTGGGCTCCTTGGTCACTGGTGTTAAGGATGAGTAAATATCATCAATTCTCATGTTTTCAGAATGATCGTAATAACGTTTCACAGCACTTTAAAAAGTGTTCTAAATCGCATATTCATTTCTCAATAATTACAGTCATCCAGAAGTTCGGGGGCTCCACAAAAGGCCATTCAAACCTATTTGTGTGCCTGTTATGGTAAATAAACCAAATTGGTACATAAACCTGTATAAGTGGCAAGGATAGCTTGCCATATTCAGGAAACAGCTGACCTGCCATTCGCACTCTTCCTTCATGGCCGTCAAAAAAGCTCCATCTATGGAATCTGTTCCTCCATCACAAACATTATTCTCCAACACAGAGAGCAGGTACTGCGATGGGGGGCAGTACTCGATTCCAAGCTCTGAGGAAGAATCAGGGACACAGCTGTTTATACTGAATAAAGACATCTATAGATTCAGTTCAACTTTCCATATTCAGGTTATAAATAAATGCCAAAAATAGGAAAAACACATTTAAAGCACAACCCAATTTGCCATAAAGAGAACCATTCAGGATTGAGTGCTTGTAAGAACCTGAACCTTACCTCTCAGGAATAGCTTTGTGTGCTCTATAAATGTATTCTCTCCCTGTCAAAGCAGAAATATTATAAGAGAGCTTTTTAATGTTTTCTCATTACTGAGTTCAGGCAGGAAACAGGACAGTCTTACAGCCCAACACATTTACGGTGAAGCTGGAGAAGTACAAGTAAACAAAAATAAAAAAAAAGTTGCACTGTTATAAAAATTCAACAGTGGAGATTAAGATTTGTACAGATGCCCAATGGTGATTGGTGTTCTTAAAGATATCTCCAATCAAAAGGAATTCTTTCATTTTGATGTTTCTATAGTTTTAATATAAGTCTGATCAGCTGATCCATGGCTTGGAGCCATGTCCTCTAGTACCAGCAGCCACATACCCGCTTGCATTGGTCTTGGATACCAGCTCCATTTTCAGGGGATGGAACATCTTGCTTCTTGATAACCTGCCTGACTTTAACATTTACTTTTTGTTACAACTGGTAGAGTGCCATGCACAGCCAAGATAAGAAAGCTTCCCTATTCATTACAGTATGACCCCCAAGAGCTGTATTTAAAGGGCAGGCTAACATGCCCACACAGAAGCCCCAGAATATATTGTAGGTAATGAACATGCTCATTAAGAGAAAACCCTTACCCTTGCACAGGAATTGCTGAATAGCTTCTGTTCCCTCACTGCACACTGACACTGGAGGAAACACCATGACTGCCGCATCCAAGGATATGGTCTGTCAAAATGTCAAACATAATACATTCTACTAAGATTCTTGAAAAAATATTATATGGTACTTCTTTAAACAGAACAGACATTTTAAACAGCCTGAGCACTATAATTATACATGTATGTATTTATTGGTATTTAAAGCCCAACTCCATCCAAACCTTTTATTGGTAGAATGGAGAAGAAGTATAACTTTTTTCTGGTTTTAAATGTCTGTGTCCCCATAGAGAGCAATACCTCTTCCTGTCCTGACACCTGGACAGGAAGTGAGAAGACATTTTCCTTAAAGAGACACAGACAGCAATAAAATCCTTACAGAGGTTCTAAATCATCCTCAGTCTACTACGGTGTGTTTACTGGTGTCTATGTCCCCACTGGGAATCTTTCCTTACATCCTTTTCTCTCTGACACCAAATAAAAAGAAAGGAAGTGGGAAAATGTTCTCTCACATCCTGTTCTTTTTGAGGGGAAATACCACAATAAGATACCAGTCAGGAATAGACAGTTGGCAGAGGTGGCAACCTTACCTCACTCTAGGCAAAACAAAGTTTGGGCTGAAGTTGGACTAATGCCACGGCAAAGGGAAGGTTATTCTATATACTAATCCAGTTTAGAACTGAACACTATTAGAAATCATTGCTTACCTCTAAGGTGTGAGCATTGGCCAGAGCTGAGGGCAGCTCAGTCAATCTGTTCTCTCTGATGTCCAAAGTGCGGAGGCATCGTAGGCCTCCTATTGTTGGTGGAAGAACCTTCAGTTTATTTGCTAGAGGGAGAGAAAACAAAAAGGTTAGTAAGAAAAATGACTTGTCCAACAGTTGAGCAACAGGTTCCTTTATCATTTGAAGCTAGCCATACATTGGTAGATAAATGGGGCTGAACAAGAGAAAACAAATCGATGGAGGAACCTCCACTGCTAGCCATTGTATTCAGGCAGCTGCTGCCACCAATGGCTGTCTGAATACCCGAGCAGTGACTGCATCTGATAAGCTGCAGTCACTGTTTGGTCCACAATTTCCACCAGTTTTCCTCGATTTTGAAATTGTACAAAACTCAAGACATGTTTGGCTAGCATAACTTGAAAATAGGTGAATGCCTCTTCACAATACCTATTAATAATAGGGATCTTTGGGTGTCTAATTTAATTAATTACATTTTGAGTATTTGTTTTTCAGAGAAAAGAAGCAAGTAACCATATATGTTGCTGACCAGACACCCAGATCAGGGATTTGACAATAAAAAGTAACAGCCTTCGATGGAATTCATTTATTAACATTATTTTAAATGCCTCGGTTTAATGTGTGCCGCTTGTGAGAATGATATTCAAAATACAGTCCCAGAACAATTCTACATATTCTATTGTGATGTCAAGGTTTGTACCATGATATATCCTGATAACGCCAACTATTTTTTTTTTTCTTCCCATACCAAGCTGTAGGATGCCCCGAAACTATTTACTAGTGACACTTGCCTTTTACATTGAGAGTTTGAAGTTGGACGAGGTCCCCTATGGAGTCAGGAAGCGCCCGAAGGGCATTGCGCTCTACATTCAGCACCTGCAAATAAAAGATATGTAATGGAACAATAGCTTCCCAAACATAAGGCCTAGAAGCCAATGGGCATAATCCACAAGCTATGGTGCAGTCATCTAAGACAACCAATCAGAATTCATCTTTCAAAGTAAGACTACTGATGAAATTTGATTTATTTTCTGCATTAAATTACTGTTCGAGCACTTGCTCATTGCAACTAGCTCCATATGTTTTCCTTTTAAATCTTGCACTACATTATTGAATGTGCCATTTATTTCAATGCAGCACACATACTTTTATAACCCAAGGACCCATATATTTATCCAAATGCCACAGTGTAGATATGTTACCCCCATTGCCCCATATTTTATTTGCCCTGCAGGTAAACTTTTAGTATCTTCTAGCTTTACCCGTAAAGATGTAAGCTGACCAATGTCAGCAGGAAGAGATGAAATCTGGTTGTCATGGAGGTCGAGGACCTAAAATGGAACAAGCACAGTTTTGCATATGGAAAAAACAAACTGGCAGGGAATTACAGAATTTCTTCAGTCTCCGGGTACACAACAATCAGATATTGCAGTCACAAAAAATCTTTCTACTATTTCTCATTCCTGCCTTCAGGACTTCAATCATGCTGCTCCCTTTCTCTGGAACCTCCTTCCACAGACACTCTCTAACTCTCCAAGACTTTGAATGCATTCTGAAATGCCTCTTTCACTAGCTGATCTTCTCTCATGTCCCTAACTACAAATGTGCAATCTAGGACACAATTGCCACTGCCATAGCGCCCTCACTGTATCAGTCTCCCTTCTGTAATCTATTTAGAGCAAAGTCTATTTAGAGGAGAGTATTATGCTTATATATGAGTGTAAATCTATAGTAGGTATAGAGGCACTGAGAGAAGTCAAAGCATTAGCTTTTTTTTTTTGTAAATGTTCTGACAGAGCTCAGTCCATCGTTATTAAGACTTTATCTCGATAAAGATGGACTAAGCTCCGTCGAAACAGATAAATGCTGATGTTTTGACTTATCTCCGCTGCAAGACCCATTAGTGCCTCTATACCGACTTTAGATTTGTTATTTGGTATTTTTTTGGATGAACAAGCGGGCATTTACCTCACAAATAGACTTCAGTGGCTACCACCGGGACTGGCACTATGTGTATGTCATTTTTTAAAGTATGAGTCTGATAACCAGTGTTTTTGTTTCGGGTGTAGAGTTTCATAAAGTTGTGACACACAAATTTTATGCACCAAAATCAAACATTTTTTTTTCACTATCAGGTTAGAAGACTTCCCTTCACTTCCTGTCCTGGAGATGCAACGGGAAATGAAAGGAAATTTCTCCAAAGTGAATGGAATTCCCATGTTAAGACAGTTTTACTGGAATAGGTTTCACCATTAAAGGATTTTTCCTCACCTTGTGCTCTGATGAAAACTCAAACATTTTAGATCTCTCCTCACTTTCTGTTCGACGACCATGGTCACCAAGACAAATAAAGGGGAGAAATCTACCCTGCCGTGATACAGACAGCAAAAAAGACTTCTCCCTACCCTATCCAAACATTTGCCTTCACATCAACTATGCCTGAACGTAGCCCTAACTGTCGGGCAAAATATACTAACACAGGCATAGTAACAGAGATGACAGTATGTGCTGCATATCAGATCCATCTGCAAATGTGTCACTCAGAAAAAAATGTGTTCTTATCTGCACCAAAAATCTGCATTCCAAATAAATTATCTGTTTGTACTTCAAGTCCTTACTTTATACATTCATTCATACAGCACATACAACATCACGCACATCAAATACTAAGCTGGTAGACTGGAAATATACATTTACCTTGAGGGTAGCCAGATCAAGGATTTGGCATGACTTGGGCACTAACTGAGATAATAAGTTGCTGTGAAGAATCAAAACCTGCAACAACAAATGAATCAGACTTGAAATTACACAACTGTAATTACCAAATACCTGACCAAGCTGATCAAATACCGATAGGGGTTGATTTCCTAAAGCAGTAGAGCATGGTCACTTACAAAAGTGACTTTTTGCTGAACTTGATAAATAGGGTATAAATCAAGCCCAAGGATTAGCAAACAATCAACAACAAATTCTAGTCTTGCAAATGTATAACAAGAATACACCACACTGATTACTTTTCACTTCAGATCAGATGTTAGTTGAAACAATCATTTACTAATGTGTCTGCATAATTCATAAACAATCAACAACTTATAATCATTGGAAATTAACTTGTATTTTGCATTATTTTTCCTTCTGTTGGGAAAAGGAAGTGTCAGGTTATTATTATTGTCTGTGTCTTCCTTGGTCAGCTGCCACAAGGGCCAGAAAGTGAGGTGACATCTTTCCAAGGGTGTCACTGACAGCAATAAAAACTGAGGTTTTCCAAATCTATCTTAAACTAAAAAAAATACGTTTGGGCTGGAGTTTGGCTTTAAATTTGCAGTGGCTAATTGTTCAGCCATAATAGCTTAAGCGTGTACTATTATGCTATACTTCTTTCTATTTGTCTATTCTTTACTCAAAGAAAGCCACCTGAAAAGATAAAAGTATTACTAATTTATTTTCAAACAATGCTAACAAGAGATCAAAGATGATGATCATGCTACAAGAAAGGGAGCTGGAGTGCACAGTTTTTGGGAAGATCAAAGGACAACTCCCAGGATACAACTAAAAGCTTAAATTAAAACATATAGCCACAATTTTAGCTCCCAAAACATTTGCAAAGTAATGCACCTCATCCACTGATGCCCCTAGCCTTGTTTTGCTATATGGTAGCATATCATCAGGAGAGTGACCTAACTCTGGTACTGTGTTGGCTCTGCTCTCACTATACTGTATGGTCATGTCACTTCTCTCCTTTCTGTCCCGCTCCACCTCCCGAGATGACACAAAGCCCTGGTAAGCAACACAGAGTATGTCGCTTCATATTATTCTGCATTGCTCCACCATTGTCCTAAAATTAGTCTGCATTGTTTTAGAAAAAATTCACGTCACTTTAAAAAAAAAAAAAGTTTTGGTAATTGGTATAGGTGAGTACTTGAGGAACAGTATATGTATGTATGTATCTACTGTACATGTACATATAATCCACAAAGACAATTGTAGAGAGAACCAACCATCCGTCTTCAGTGAGTGCATGCAGCAATGAGAGATAACCCCTTTTTTTCCAATAGCTAACAAAAAGACCAAACTCGTGTTTTATTTATCTTTATAACTCCATAATCCACATGCCAATACTACAGTTAAGGACCAACAACAGTCCTTCCTCAGATAAGGCATTTCTAACAATGAATTAAACATACGTCTTAAAACAATAAAACAAACATACCGGAAACCTGTCACACCTGAATCTAATTAAAGATAATATCTAAAAATCAGTACAAGCTTTAAGGTGCCCATACACCTGCCAATTATCGTACGATAATCGCGGGTAATCCCGTGATCGTACGATAATCGGCCGGTGTAGGGGCAGCGTGCGACCGCATCTACTGTACGGTCGCACGACTTTCGTCTTCCTAGCACGCTGAAAACCTGTCGAAAATCATACGATTTTCGGCAGGTTGGTAGAGTGCTCGGAAGACGATAGCTGCACGGGCTGGTGTGCAAAAGCGCACACTGCCCGTTCAGCATTGCAATCCTTGGCAAGCCCTCCCATCAGCAGCGATGATCGCAACTACGATCTGTCTGTCCAAGATGGGCAGGTCGCACGAAATTTTAATGACCTTACAACCATCGCACAACGAAAGTCGTGCGATGGTTGTAATGTGTATGGCCAGCTTTACTCTGAGTAATTTGAATAAAAGGGAACTATTTTCATCATCCACATACTGGTAAAAATACAAATAAGGGATACTATACTTGCCAGATTGCCTACGTTTTATATATATATATATATATATATATATATATATATATGTTAAAATGTCTTTTTGGTTTATGTAACATTGGTGAAACCACACAAAAAATGAAGAATCGGCTATCTCATCACAAATGTGATGATAATGAATATGGAAACTTGTGGATCTGTTCATTATGTGGTCACAGTTTATTGAATGTACTGCTCATAGTAAAGCTTGTACTGATTATTAGATTGTATCTTTAATTAGATTCAGGTGTAACAGGTTCTAAAATGTTGTTTAATTCATTGTTAGAAATGCCTAACCTGACGAAGCACTGTTGATGATCCGAGACTGTTGTACTGGTATGTGGATTATAGAGTGATAAGAAAAAAAGAAAACACGAGGTGCTGCAGACAAAATGAGTCTGGACTTTTTGTTATATGTAAATACTGTATGTTTGCTGTGATAGTGAGGGCTGAGAGGAACATTTTTTTCTTTAGCACAGTGATTGTCCAGGTGTGTGTTCCAACACTAACCTTCTTCTGAAGGACTCGGCACATAGAGAAGGCACCATCTGGGATCTGGAAACAGACAACAGGTGTTGAGTGTGGACTGCAGAAAGTGAACTATTAAAACGTTATTACTTTTAAAAAACAAGGATCAAAGAAATCGCTAAATATTAACATTTTTTGCCTCCTTTCCTCTAATGGGAGAGCAGCTAAAATGTCAACCCAGCACACAGCTCCATCACAAATTGTGTGCGCTCAAATAGTCACTGCTGTATCATAGGAGTCAAACTTTTCTTCCAATTCAGTCCTGAGCTACTCTCCCAGTGTAGAAAAGGAAAGGAAGGTGTCAGTTGGTTATAAGTAATTATCTCAAAAATCAAAGTAAAAAATGTAAACTAAATACACTACCGCAATTTTAATTAGACAAAAATGATATCCTAAAGCTAAACTGTTGTTGTTCAAAACAATCTTAATAGAAATTCCCCACTAGCTTCTAATGTCACTACAGGGCACAGGAGTGAAGTACAGGCCGAGGATAGAACCGTAGCGTGTGGCAACGGACACCAGAATCTGACAGTCCTATAAAGGGCTATATGATGAAGAGTCAAACAGAGGCTTCAACTCTTAAACAAGCAAAGACACGGGCTATTGGAAAGGTAGATATAATACCTCTTCTTCTGCAGGGTTCTGCTATCAAGATTGTTTTGGGCCAACAATAGTGCTGCATACCTGCACTGATCTTTTATAACTTTCATACTATTCCCATACCTCAGTTAAGATTCTAGGAGTCAACACCTACCCCTGTTCTATTATCTCTTAAGCCCAATAATGTCTTATTCCTACTGCTCCTCATCCCACCTATAACAATTCCTCTATTGCTTTGGCTAAAATAAAATTGGTGTTTTTGATTTGAGAGAAAGTTACTTTCTATTTCTATCTGATCTAATTTTCTAGTATACAGTGTATATACATATATATATATATATATATATACACACATGTACGTACACACACACACACACATACACACGCACGCCTGCTCTATATAAAGAAAACTGGCGGGGCTTACCTCTGATAATTCACATTTTGAGATGTCCAAGATGTCATCTGCTCCGGCCTCCTTGGCCTGCATGAAAAAGGCATAACTTCAAGCAATTATGACCTTCTTTATAGATAAGATCAATTGCAGGCACAACTCATTATCACTGTGCTCCTGACAACATTCAGAAAATTCCCAAAATGCACAGGAGGCTGAGCGGTGCGGGAGGAGAGACGCCGGCCACTCGCTTCACTCTCCTCCCCTCTCTAGTGTGTTTTAGTGCATTTACATGCATTTTGGTGCATTCCAGACCAGAGAAAAATAGTGCAGGCTGTACTTTTTTTTTAAAAACATTCTGGAACTGAATGCAGTGGTATGAATTAGCCTCACTTTTTACCACAGGAATGAATGGGGATGCGTTTTTGGAGCAGACATAAATTGTGCTGATCTGATCTGAAGAGTATGTATTCTTTTGAAAGTGAATATGTCCTTTGACTCTTCCAGCACCAATTAGTACCTTGTGAGCTCTCCCCTGCCAGGGGGGTAAAATAAGTTACACGTTGGAGTCTACCCCTAATCCCATATGACAGCACTCAGGCCTGGGAGACTGGCTGCTCAGGCACCCAATCCTGCACTGTGGAAGGAAAGAGAAAGATTCACATCTTCCCATCAGATTCACCGCTCCCACACACCAGGAATTATTAAGTATTTCAATGCACTCCAGCACAGGTAACGCAAGGAAAGGCAAGAATCTACATCAGATGATGGTGCTATCAAGTCAGCCTGTTGCTCTGCACTGAATGGGCAAACCACAGGCTTGCTTGAAACCCATTAGTTTATATATGGAGGAAATAAGGCTCTTTCATGTGAGCGTTGTATGTAGCGGGTATTAAGACTATAGCGTAAACAACAATATATGTTTTTCTCCATATAGTACTGTACTGCACTGTCTGCTGTGATGTAAACTCATACAAGATTAAGATGAGATCACCTCCTGGCAATGGACCAGTTTCATCTATGAGATTGTTCTATTACATATCAAATCACTGGATCAAGATAAAAGTCAGGACTTACCAGGCACATCTGATACTCAAGGCGTTTCCTGGCCTCCCCGCTCTGCTTCTGTTTCTTGAAGAACAGCGGCATCATATTTGGCACCTCAATCCTCACCAAGACAACACGGCTACAACAGAAGAGAGTTCAGTGACACAGGGCTGGTGTCCCCGGGAGGAAACAGCCTGACAATTCCATTACTCTGCACTGCCAGCTGCCCAGCAATGAAGGGAGGCAGCTCCCTGGGCTATTAGAGTCTTCTGTGGAGGAGGAGACACTGACAGCCAAGGAAAATCCGATACAGGCACAGCCAAAAAAAACTCACACAGGGATCACCTAAAGAGGAACTCCGAACCAAGGCTTAATGACCAGCAATGAAGGAGCTGATCACATCTCTGAATAGAATTGTGCATCCCTTCTGACTTCCAGGTTGTGACAGAACGGAAATACAATATCAGTTTCTTATAAGATAACCTGTTCAGCAGGTCCCTAAAATGATGAGTGCTAATGGCACGTTTTAAGGGAGCAGTATTGTGACAAACATATATTTAAAAAATGTCTTAATATTAATCACAGGGGAAGGAATTCTGGCTTGCAAACCACATTACGGTGTTATGATTCATTAGCAAATGGAGAAGTTATTGTTTCCGAAATGTACAGAAAGAATCTCATTACAGCGGTTTCCCATGAATTAATATAGCCCAATGAGCAGCGCAGTGAGGCAGAAGAAAATGGCAATGTGTAGCATTTAGGGCTCGTTCACACCAGACACAGTGTGTTCTGGCCCAAGTCTGGCCAGAACGCACTGCATCGCATTGCAGCAAGCTCACTATGTTGTGGGGCAGGAGGGGGCGTGGCTGTCCATTGAAGTGAATGGCACCGTAGCCACGCCCTCCAGCCGCAATGCGATCGGCCGCATGGGAATGCAAGGCACATTATGCCTGCGGTCCGGTCCGAACAAAATAGTGCTTGCAGCATTTTGTTCAGACCAGACCGGACCACAGGCATAATGTGCCTTGCGTTCCTGTGCGGTCAATCGCATTGCGGCCAGAGGACGTGGCTATGGTGCCATTCACTTCAATGGACAGCCACGCCCCCTCCTGCCCCACAGCATAGTGAGCCAACCGCAATGCGATGCGTTCTGGCCAGGATTGGTCCGGAACGCAGTGTCTGGGCAGGTTCACACCATTTTCTGGACCAGATATGGAATGCAGTGCATTGCGTTTTTACCGCGATTTTGGAATTATTATTTTTTTGCTTAAGCCCTGGTTCACACCTAGGAGTTTTTGAGCAGTTCGAAAAGCGCTTTTAACTGCCCAACACAAGAAATCCCATGATATTTAATGGCCCTGGTTCACACCTGAGCAGAAAGATGCCAGCAAGAAAACGCCAAACGCCCCAAAAAGATATTGGAGCTGCTTTGGGCAAAAGCGCTTTTCTTCCCCACAGCCTTCATTGTAAATGCCCAGAAACGCGCGAAAGAAGCATGTTGTACATTTTCGTGAGCGTTTTTGTGCATTTATACGCGTTCTTCCATTGCCCACAATGGTTTATGAGCCGCCAATCGAAACGTGCGTCTTCGTGTACACACGTTAAAACGTGCATACCAATGTGCAAATAACTGCACACTGTTAACGCACGTACTAAAAATCTCTACCAGGTTCTTTTTCCATGTCGGTGACCCCCTGGAGACATTTCACCTCACTTCCTGTCCCTATGGTAACTGAACAGTAACAGGTGTCTCAGGACAGTAACAATGGACAGCAATAAAAAACTGATATATAACTAGATATAACTGTCATGATCAAAATCTTTCCCAGCACAACAAATTCACGCCACTAAACATCAACGACAAAAGATTTCCTTTTATTCTGTATCACTGCAACACCAAGTCGCCAGGACAGGAAGTAATGGGAAATCTGCCCAATGGGGACAGAAACAGCAAAAGAAAGTGGGAGCTAAAGTTCAAAGATCTGACACCAAAGCTGCCAAAAGATATAAGAAATGGTTAGATGATTCTACCAAATTCTCAGCTATGGGTGGACCGACCCTGACTCTATGTCATTATAGCGAATCATTAAACACATCATGCTGATTTTATGAGCTTGTTATACTGGATTCTGAATCTGTAAAAAATGATGTGTGACCTGGTAGGTAAGGATGTGCTGTTACTTACTATTCATACATTTTACAAACACCGGACAAAAGAAAAGTATGTCTGTTGCCCAAATAACCAGATTTTCTCTCTCATGTTCATCCATTTCTGTGAGAATTCTGCGCAGCCGAAGAAAATGTCAGGAGTGACGTAATCCCCCTGTGCGGAGACTGCAATCTAGCTGATATGTGGTGGGACTGGTGCTCTTCAACCCTCAGCCTAAATCCTAAAGCTGGCCAAACACTCTGCAGTTATCGTACCAGTTCCTTCGTGCCGTCATCAAACCCTCGTTCCATTTCCGCACAACTGCCCCCATCATGCACAGACCAATGTCAATTTCTAGAGCTGCAACAACGATTCGATTTAGTCGATTAAAATCGCTTAGTCCGCTATTACATTGCCTGTTTGCGGCTACACACAGAAGCCGCGCACGCCTCGCCCACGTCGCGGTTCAGCCTCCAATCCCGGCGCTCCTTACATCTAGCCGGGCCGGTGCGATCACATGACGGTTGCCGGAGATGTGAGCGCGACAGGTGTCAGCCGGGGAATGGAGACTACGGCTGGGGACGAGCTAGCATCCAGGCTGAACCGATCAGCAGAAGACATGGAGGGAATGTTCAGACAGTAAGTGCCCCGAGCACCCCGGAACCTGGGACCTGACACCGTGCACCCCAATCCACCATCATACCCATCCTCTGCACCCCATCCCACCATCATACCCATCCTCTGCACCCCATCCCACCATCATACCCATCCTCTGCACCCCATCCCACCATCATACCCATCCTCTGCACCCCATCCCACCATCATACCCATCCTCTGCACCCCATCCCACCATCATACCCATCCTCTGCACCCCAGCTCACCATCATACCCATCCTCTCCATTCCTGCACTCCATTCCACCATTATACCCGTCCTCTCCATCCCTGCACTCTTTCCATCATCATACCCATCCTCTCCATTCCTGCACTCCATTCCATCATCTTAACCGTCCTCTGCACCCCATTCCACCATCATACCCATCCTCTGCCCCCCATCCCCCCATCATACCCATCCTCTGCCCCCCATCCCCCCATCATACCCATCCTCTGCCCCCCATCCCCCCATCATACCCATCCTCTGCCCCCCATCCCCCCATCATACCCATCCTCTGCCCCCCATCCCCCCATCATACCCATCCTCTGCCCCCCATCCCCCCATCATACCCATCCTCTGCCCCCCATCCCCCCATCATACCCATCCTCTGCCCCCCATCCCACCATCATCCCCATCCTCTCCTTCCCTGCACTCCCTTCCACCATCATACCCGTCCTCTCTATTCCTGCATCTCCAATAACACCAGCTATAGAGGAATACATCAGATCCCAGCAATAATACATTGCTGGGATCTACATGCAATGCAGAATACCATCAGCTATAGAGGACTACAAATCCCAGCAATAGTACATTATAGTATAATGTACTATTGCTGCGATTTGTTGTATTCCCCTAAAGCTGCTGGTATTCTGCATTGCGTTGCTGTATAATGTACTATATTACACACCACACTTTTTTTTACTTCCCCCGCTCCAAGCTTGCTCCCGTGATGGACTACAATCTCTATACAATCTAGTAGTCCATCACTGGAGACTTTTTTTTTTTTTTTTAATCCGATTAACCTATTAATCGAACTTAATAATAGGCTAACTAATCGATTATGAAAATAATCGTTAGCTGCAGCCCTATCAATTTCCATCATCGTTTGTTATCAATACCAACTCACTGAATTTCAGCGATCGACAGAACGGATTCTCGTTTTTGGGCGGTGTTCTTGCTATGATTTTGGCCTGGTTCACACCTGGGCGTTTTACAGCGCGTTCACACCTAGGCGTATAGAATATGCGCGTTTATACCGCGATTCGTGAAAAAAAGCGCGTTTCCGAGGGCTACCTGGCTGTATCCCAATGGATACGTGCGGCAAAGAAGCTCCTGTACTTCTTTGGGCGTAGGGTGTTTTGCAGCGCGTTCCTACGCGCTGTAAAGCGCCCAGGTGGGAACCATGCCCATGCAATCATTGTTTTTCACATGTTGAGCGTAATTCCGAGCGGCTAAAACAGTACCATGTATCGCAAAAAAAAAAGGTACTTCTACCTTTTTTCTGCAATAGCCACCCCATTGAAATCAATGGGGACACACGGCAATTGCTGCCTGCATTGTGCAGGACCGCGCGTTCTGGGTGTTGTGCGTTGTAGTGCATGTGTGAACCTAGCCTAAAGCTAGCCAGACACGTAGCAATCGGGCGAAACAATAAAACTTTCAATTCCATTTCTTGTCAAAACCACTAAGCTATTGAAGACATAAAATGGTGGTTTGAATCAACCACAAGGAGATGGGATTAAAATTGCCCAGATCAACCTGATTTCATGGCTTTCAAAGACATTGGTGGTTGGTCAAACTTGATATATAACTAGATATAACGTTCATGATCAAAATCTTTCCCAGGACAACAAATTCACGCCACTAAACATCAACAACAAAAACTCTAGAGACATTAAACTCACCTCACTAGTTCTCATTCAGTAACAAGAGCCAACAGAAAATGCAAACAATGACATAGCTTCATATGACAATTATTTGGGCAGATCAAAAAGGGTGTTCTATCACAGTGATGGGATCCTATACAAAGAAAGCAGGAAAAAGCCAATATGTATACACCAAGTACAACATATCGGTAAAGGCTGGCTGTATTTCACACAGTCTACCAAGAATTGGCTAGAACAGGTCAAGTCCAGTAAGAATGATCTGATGTCAGCGTTACATAAAGGTAAGGAATGAAGTTAAACTTGTCTATACTGAGCTACTCTAAAACAAGGAAATATAGAGGGTACATAACGTGGTGTAGTCCTATTTAATTCTGCAGAATGGTGGCGAGCGCACAATGGCGATGTCAAATCAAATGTGTGTGTTTATGGACAGGACACAGAAATTGTTATTTTCCACAATGACGGCTGCTGAGAGCTGAACATAGCAGTCACGTGGGGGAGAATAACAAAGATCAGAGAACATAACACACGCATTATATCTCTGTGTACCTATATTGTCCAATCTGCAACAGTAATAGTAATAACAAATAATAACAAATGTTAGAGAACATAACACACGCATTATATCTCTGTGTACCTATATTGTCCAATCTGCAACAGTAATAGTAATAACAAATAATAACAAATGTTAGAGAACATAACACACGCATTATATCTCTGTGTACCTATATTGTCCAATCTGCAACAGTAATAGTAATAACAAATAATAACAAATGTTAGAGAACAGAACACACGCATTATATCTCTGTGTACCTATATTGTCCAATCTACAACAGTAATAGTAATAAACAAATAATAACAAATGTTAGAGAACAGAACACACGCATTATATCTCTGTGTACCTATATTGTCCAATCTACAACAGTAATAGTAATAACAAATGTTAGAGAATATAACACACGCATTATATCTCTGTGTAGTGTGTACCTATATTGTCCAATCTACAACAGTAATAGTAATAACAAATGTTAGAGAACAGAACCCACGCATTATATCTCTGTGTACCTATATTGTCCAATCTACAACAGTAATACCCGTCACATTTTTAGTAACGATATTATATTTCAAAATATAACCATAGGTGACAGGAGCAACGCTTGGCAGGTGAAAAAAGAACATTCGTACAATTGGTTCATACTTCAGTTAAGTAAAAAAAAAATCAATACTTTTTATTGATATGAGCTAGACATAGTGATGAGTTTGCCCAAGCACGCTTAAAAACTTGGAGCGGAATGGAGGCATTTCTCTCCCCTTTGTGACATATTGCTGTGGGGCGAGGAATGTTTCTACTGCAACTTCTTGGGCCCGGCATATGGGTGCCCACCAAGTCCAGGCTCTTCACTAAGTGAAAGCTTACTCTGATCTCTCAGATGGATTTTTTTTTTTTGTGTGAAGGGGCCCTTCACACTGTTATGGTGCATGCCACATCTTAATGTGCGTTTGGTTAAGGCAGCCCAGAGTTTTGATTGGGCTTGGCCCAGCCTCATCTCTACTTACAATCAGGTTTACAAGTGAGCCATACATGTTTTTTTGCACAGATTTCATAAGGGTCAGAAGATTTTGACTGCTGCCTGTGTCTTCATTAGTGATGAGCGAGGGGCTCAGTGCAAACCCAGTTCGCCCAAGCCCACGCAAAACTGTGCATGACACCGCTGCACATTTCTCAAAGTGGCAAGGAGCCCATCTTTTGCAACTGACTGGGTCAGGGAGAGGGGGTGTCAGTCACAGTTTTGCACGGGCTTGGGTGAACTCAGGGAAACTGGGTGCACACCAAGCCCTCACTCATCACTAGTTCTCATTGGAGAGATTTCCTCTCACTTCCTCTCCTGGTGACACCAGAACCTGAAATGAGAGTGTGTTGGTGCCTAAGACAGAAAGACTCAGATCAATAAAAGTCAGACATATGCTTTAACCCCTCCCCACTCTGCTATAAAAATGTGTTGTGCTTCTATCCCCCTTAGAAGAAATATTACATCACTTCCTGTATGTGTCACAGCCTGTCACCAGGAGAAGAAGTGAAGTGTTGCCAACAGGGACACAGACAGCAGTAAAAACCTGACAGATATTGTAAAACATCCTCCATGGGTACAAATAAAAAATACTGCAGTTGCATTTTAAATTCTGTGGACAGTATGTTATATTAATCTGCCTGTAACTGCAGAGCTAGACTTACTGACATGGCATGCTGGTGTTTGTAGTCCCACAGCAGCACCCAAGCTACAGATTGCCTAGCAATGCGCAGTATCACAGACACAAGCATGTCACCCAGCAACATGGACCCATGACTCCAATACCAGCACAATACACCAGGAACAACAACTGGGACTGGTGCCAGGGACAGACAGAGTGGTACTCACTGTTGGGGGCCACAAGGACTGTCAGGGGCCCATCACTGTGCCGTCACTCATGCAGAATCACTGCCCTAGCCATGGACTTCAGGCGCTTCCGGGTCCTTTCCAGTCATGTGACTCGGCTACCAAAACAGTCAACGAGCGCCACCTGGTGGTCACCAAGAATACTGCACGCAGAATATGTTCCCTTTACAAATGTATTATTATTAATAATAACACACCTAGGCGTACCGAATATGCGCGTTTGTCACGCATTTCGCGATTCGCCAAAACAAACGCGCTACTTGGCTGTATCCCAATGGAAACGCGCAACAAAAACGCCCCAAAGAAGCTCCTGTACTTCTTTGGGCGTAGGGCGTTTTGTAGCGCGTTCATACGGCCTGTAATACGCCCAGGTGTGAACCATACCCATAGGAAATAATGGGATTTCGGTGTTTGAGCATTTTGCAGAGCGTTCAAACGCGCTACAAAACGCCCAGGTGTGAACCAGGGGTGCACCAAAATAGAAATGTAAAATCCGAAACGAAACCGAAATAGAAAAAATTGTCAGGCCGAAACCGATACCGAAAATGTTTTTATTTAAATTTTTTAACATTTTTTAAATATTTTTTTTTTTTTTACTTATTCATTTTTTATTAAATATTTTTATTTTTTACTTTACTTTTAGGGGCTTTGGGCAAATATTAGGGGTCTAAACAGACCCCTGATATTTCCCTTTTAAAATAGAAAAAGAGATTGAGGACAAAGAGTCCTCAATCTCTTTTTCTGTATCCCGTTATCCCCTGATAACTTGAGAATATAGTATATTTACTATAACCACAATTATGAATGAACAGGAGGTGATATAGATCACTCCCATTCATTCATAATTGAGGATATAGTAACCATACCATGTCCTCAATATCTACAAACACTCAG